GAAGAAGAAGAAGAAGAAGAAGAAGAAGAAGAAGAAGAAGAAGAAGAAGAAGAAGAAGAAGAAGAAGAAGAAGAAGAAGAAGAGATATGATTTATACCCCGCCCTTCACTTGGAGTCTCAGAGCGGCTTACAAACTCCTTTCCCTTCCCCTCCCCACAACAGACACCCTGTGAGGTGGGTGGGGTTGAGAGAGCTCTTGACACAAACTGCTCTTTTTCAAGGACAGCTGTGTCAGAGCTTGTGACTGACCCAAGGTCATCCAGCCAGGTGCAAGTGGAGGAGTGGGGAATCAAACCTGGTTCTCCCAGATTAGAGTCCGCACACTTAACCACTACACCAAACTGGCTCTCAGAGGTCAACTGTTTGAAGAAATATAATTTTAAAATTCCACAGGGCTGGCAAAAGCCGTCAAAGTGTGAGCTTTTAAGTAGCTCTACAAAATTTCAGATGACGGCCAGTGCATTTAAATTTCATCTCTAGACTGATTTTCCTTAAATGTTAACAGCTATCAACCAGTTAGCTCAGATAGGCAATGTAAATATTCAGATGAGATGGAGGGGGGAGGGGAAAGAGAATAAACTTGGATAATGGTGAGTTCAGAACACGTCCGCCATCAGTCTAATCTTAAAGAAAGTGATACAGCATTGAGAGATATTAAAGGCCACGGCCCTGATGGCACAGGGCACAGTAAGTAGGACATGTGAAGACGAAGTCCAAGTGGCAATACTAAGCTACACATACTACTGAGATGGTTGCGGGTGGGTAGCCATGTCGTTCTGCGGTAGAAGAGAAAGATCAGAATCCAGCAACACTTTAACACCACGGTCTAAGCTTCTGAGAGTCAAAGCTCCCTTCATCAGATTCTGACAAAGGGAGTGTAGAGTTGAAAGCTTATATACTAGATCTGAATCTTGCTCTCACATACTACTGATGGTGTAGTGGTTAAAAGCGGCACACTGTAATCTGGAGAACCAGGTTTGATTCCCCTCTCCTCCTTCACACAAAGCCTGCTGGGTGACCTTGGGCCAGTCTCAGTTCTCTCAGAACGCTCTCAGCCCCACCTACCTCACAAGGTGGCTTTTGTGGGGGAGAGGAAGGGAAGGCGATTGTAAGCTGCTCTGAGACCCATGAGGCCTGCTGGGTGACCTTGGGCCAGTCCCAGGTCTCTCAGAACTCCCTCAGCCCCACCTGCCTCACAAAGTGCCTGTTGTGGGGAAAGGAAGGCAAGGCAATTGTAAGCTGCTTTGAGACCCATGAGGCCTGCTGGGTGACCTTGGGCCAGTCACTGTTCTCTCAGAACCTTCTCAACCCCACCTGCCTCACAAGGTGCCTCTAGTGGGGAGAGGAAGGGAAGGCCCACAAATACTAGGCATCCCACTAATCATAATTGCTATAATTTTACCCACACTGCTTATCTCCACACAACCCCCCCTTAATCCCCAACTGCACAACTGTTACCCAAACAATCATCAAACAACTTATAGCCCCAACCAGGCTGCTTTGAGACGCCGTAAAGTGGAGAAAAGTGAGGTATAAAAACCTACTCTTCTTCTTCTCTTCTACTGAGGACTATCATGAAAGGCATTTGGAAAGACTGGCCTAATAAGCCTGTGGGGAAACGGCAAATGCTCAGAAGGAAACTGACTCCATAAAAACCAGCTCAGCTGAGAAGACAATAACCATCCCAACAAACCAGGTGACCACCACCACCATAACGTTACATTTATCCTTACACAGATGTACATTTAATTATTATTTTAAGTCTATTTACCATAGTGCAGAACTTACCACTTCATGAATGGACCGATTGAAGCCGTCATCTTCAGTAAGGATTAACAGAATTATGAGAGCCATGTAGACATGGTGCGAGTTTCTTTCTTCAACATGATAAAGAATCTCAAGAATCGGCAAAACCTTGAAGAGGGGGGAAAAAATTAATATAGCACATCAGTGCGTCCCAAACCGAAGACAGTTTTAATTCTTCCTTATTTCATGATAATTCATAAACTCCAGAAAAGGGGGGGGGGGATTAAAAATCCTTCTAGTGACATAAAAATGCTTAACGGCCTTTCGTTTGTTTTCTGCTGCTGCCAGAAAAAATTAAAACACGGTAAATAAACTCCTGCGGGAGACGTATAACTCAATTCCTAATAAACCAAGATTCCCAGTGGTGCTTTTAAAGGGGGATCAGTGCATTCTGAATTTGTAGAGCTCCAATTTATATCACAAGACTAATAACTGTAATCTCAGTTTAACTCAATCGCTTTGGCAGTTTAAACAGACCGGGTCTAATGTACTTCTCTGCGTCATTTTAAGATACTAGAACTCGAGGACATCCAAGGAAGCTGATGGGTAGCAGATTCAAGACAAGACTAAATGAAATACTTCTTTACACAGAGAGTGATTAAAATGTGGAATTCGCTGCCAGAGGATATAGTGATGGCCACTGGAAGAAACAGCTTTAAAAGGGGATTCAATAGATTCATGGGGGATAAGTCTATCAATAGATACTAGCCATGGTGACTGAGGGGAACCTCCACATTCAGAGGCACTGAACTTTGAATCCCAGAGCCAGGAGGCAACATCACAGGAAGGCCTTGGCCACTATGCCCTGATGTCAGCCGTCCAGAGGAACTGGCTGGCCACTGTGTGAGACAGGATGCTGGAATAGATGGACCACTGGCCTGATCCAGCAGGGCTCTTCTGATGTTCTTATGAAGGCCTTGTCATTTTATGCCCTGTTGTTGGCCCTCCAGAGGAACTGGTTGGCCACTGTGTGAGACAGGATGCTGGAATAGATGGACCACTGGCCTGATCCAGCAGGGCTCTTCTGATGTTCTTATGAAGGCATCGACCTTTATCCCCTGCTGTTGGCCATCCAGAGGAACTGGCTGGCCCCTGTGTGAGACAGGATGCTGGAATTTATTTATTTATTTATTTATATCTTCGATTTCTTATACCGCCCTAACCCCCTTGGGGGTCTCTGGGCGGTTTACATAGCAGGTTCTACATAGCAGGTTTACATAGTAGGTTTACATAGCAGGAATAGATGGGCCATTGGGTCTGATCCAGCAGGGCTCTTCTGATGTTCTTAGGAAGGCATCAGACTTTATCCCCTGCTGTTGGCCATCCAGAGGAACTGGCTGGCCCCTGTGTGAGACAGGATGCTGGAATTTATTTATTTATTTATTTATATCTTCGATTTCTTATACCGCCCTAACCCCCTTGGGGGTCTCTGGGCGGTTTACATAGCAGGTTCTACATAGCAGGTTTACATAGTAGGTTTACATAGCAGGAATAGATGGGCCATTGGGTCTGATCCAGCAGGGCTCTTCTGATGTTCTTATGAAGGCCTCAGCCTCTATGCCCTGTTGTTGGCCCTCCAGAGGAACTGGCTGGCCACTGTGTGAGACAGGATGCTGGGCTAGATGGACCACTGGTCTGATCCAGCAGGGCTCTTCTTATGTTCTTAAGATATTATGCATCCATCTCAGATGGACAGCCTGAGGGTTTTTTTCATCCTCAAACCAGTCAAATTATAATATCATTCAGATCCAAGATCGTTTATACGGTTTACTGGATCCCCCAGCATTTATTATTACATTGTTTTATAAAGGGCTATCTTAGCTTATCCATGGTTCTAAGCTGCAAATATTCTCCTCTTCTCTTTCCTTCTACCATCTTGCTTTTTAGCAAAAAGGGCTCTGCAGTCCTTTTTTTTTTTAAATAGTGGATAGCAAGTCAATAAAAAAAATCTTTGGTTGAATGGGCAGTTTTGCTGTACCGCAGTCGGTTGATGATCATTCTGAAAAGCAATATTTTATGGGAAATCTGACTAGATCAGCTTATTCTTTTCTATATTGAGTAAATATATCATAAAAGAAAACAAAAAAATGTGCTGCTACAAGCTTTATCACAAGAAAGGGCCATGTTAGCAAGGTTTTTATCTTCTCTGATAGTACTTTGCCGCAGCTAATTTGCTTGAGCCATCTGGAATATGGTGAATACGGTGATGCTCAAACTCCTCTCCCTACCGACAGATTTGATCTTTTCCTTGCAGTGACCTGGGTGCCCCTGGCTAGCCCAGTCACATCAGATCTTGGGTTGGTCCTGGTTAGTACTTGGATGGGAGACCACCAAGGAGGTCCAGGTTTGCTATGCAGAGGTAAAGGTTCCTTTGCTCGAAAGCCAGTCAAATCCGACTCTAGGGTTGCGGTGCTCATCTCCGTTTCCAAGCCAAAGAGCCAGCGCTGTCCGAAGACGTTTCCGTGGTCATGTGGCCGGCATGACTAAATACCAAGGTGCATGGAACGCTGTTACCTTCCCACCAAAGTGGTCCCTATTTATCTACTTCCAATTTCTTGCTTTCGAACTGCTAGGTTGGCAGGAGCTGGAACTAGAGACGGGCGCTCACTCCGTCATGCGGCACACTTGAACTGCTGAACTACTGACCTTCCAGAGCCTGCAGTTCAGCGTCTTAACCACTTGAGCCACCGCAGCTCCCTATGCAAAGGTAGGCAATGGCAAACCACACCTCCGTTCATCTCTTGCCTTGAAAACCCTATGGGATCACCATAAACTGGCTGTCCCTTGAGGGAACTGATTATATTACTCCAATCATCCTCTGAGGAAGGAGTTTATGCCCCCACCCCTTATCTCCACAACAACTGTGTGAGGTAGAGGAGGCCTAGAGACAAAATAAGAACGTAAGAGCCCTGCTGGATCAGATGAGCGGTCCATCTAGTCTAGCCACCTTTTTCACACATCGAAGGCCCTGGCCTCTATATTCTCTTCACCCTTTGAAGGAACTATTTGGGCATTGTGTGAGACAGGAAGGTGGACTAGATGAACCACTCATCTGATCCAGCAGGTCTCTTTGTATGTTTGGAGTTGTCCTGGAAGACCAACAAACAAGGCACAGATGTTGCCTCCTAGCACTGGGTTTCAGATATTTAATAACAAAGTGCTGTCTGGTTGCAACCAAAGGATGGAGATCCATCACAGGGTTTTCAGGGTGAAAGATGAGAAGAGGTGGTTTGCCCCCGCCTTCCCCTGCACAGCAACTCTGGTCTTCCCATCCAAGTATTATACATGTCCGACCTTGCTTAGCTTCCAAGCTGTCAGGAGCTTGGCCAGTCTGGTTTATTCAGGCTACTCCAAATATGAAAACAGCAAGCTCCAGGGCTGCACCGATGTTTGAATCCAGGTCTTCCAACGCTTAATCCATTAAGACTGCACCAGCTTCCAGTACAGCCTTTCACTGTGTGAATTTAATGGGGTACCGATGCCCACGCTTACTGCTGAGGGCAAATTTCATGCTTCTTTCATGCATGCGATTCTCTGTAAGAATTCACCAATTCAAAAAAAAACACCCCAGAAAACTGTGACCAATGGAGAGTGTGGAGACCTGTTAACAAATGCAGTTGAGGCCCGTGCAAAATTAAGCAAGGGAAAGAAACTGATCTCTGCACCATAGCGAACCCGTCCAAAAACATACTGACATTGATTTAGAAATCAAATGTAAAAGGCCGAGGAAAGGATAAAACATGAAGTGAAAAGACAAGTCAGTCTCAGAAGCTAGCAAGTCTGCCAGTCGTGCTTCTGACAGACTGATATGGGTAGCCGCCAATGTTCCCTCTAAGTTGTGGAGTCTTGTGAGCAACAATTCTACTTTGTGAGCTACTGGCATTAAAGTTGTGAGCCAGCGATTTGGCTACTGCATAAATTAGTTTGCTCCGGAGACATCCTTCCTGAGCCAGGAAAAAAATGTGTGAGCCGGAGGCTAAAAAACTGTGAGCTAGCTCACACTAACTCAGCTTAGAGGGAACACTGGTAGCCGCGCTAGTCTGTTTGTAGCAGTAGAAAAGAGCAAGAGTCCAGGAGCAGCTTAAAAACTAACAAAATTTGTGGCAGGGGAGAAGCTTCCATGAGTCATTGCTCACTTCTTCAAAGGAAGCAGTGACTCACAAAAGCTCATACCCTGCTACAAATTTTGTCAGTCTTTAAGGTGCTACTGGACTCTTGCTCTTTTCTACTGATGCTCTCGGTGAGTGAGGAATATCAAAGGAGAAGGAAACTGTCTGTCTGCTTGAGTGCGTGCATGCGTTTGCGGACAGGAGAAGGCAGAGCCGACTTTTAATTTTCCTGTGGAACAGATAAAAAGGCAGCAAACAAAATGTACAAAAAACTTACTGAAATTAAAGGGCAATAACATTGGGGGGGGGGAACACAGGATGGGTCAGAAGAGGCAGTTTTATGGCATGGGTTTGGGGGGGAAAGTTTTCAAGTGATGCTTTCATCAATTACATCAACTTTTCCTGGAAAGTGACATGCTTTGCTTAGAGTATTATTTCCGGGCTTAGAGGTGATTTTTCACCCGTGAGGGATGGAGAAAGAACAAGTACGTCATGGTGTTCCACTTCAGTGCGGATAAAGTCACGAGTTCTTCAAAGACCGTGGTTCCTCTAACATGCAAGTGGTTGAGGGAAAGACCTCCAAATCCCCAACAGAATGTTAGAAAACGGGATTTGGTGCCAGTAAGTCTTCTTAGGGGAGGCAGAGCCACCTCTGTCCATCCTTTTGCTCATATGAAGAACGTAAAGAAGAGTATCGACCACAGAAACGTTTGTGATCACTGAGGTATTAAACTATACACTGGGAATTGCAAGGTCTTTTCCTGGCTGAGATCTGAGAGCTAAAACGCTGCTCATGTGCTAAGACCATGAGGGAGGCATGCTGAGAGAGCAGTGGAGGAGGGAGGCTGCAGGAGGCTCTCCAACTGAGCTGGGCGGAGCAGGCAGAGAAAGGCTCACATGAGGAGGAAGAAGAAGAAGAAGAAGAAGAAGAAGAAGAAGAAGAAGAAGAAGAAGAAGAGGAGGAGGAGGAGGAGGAGGAGGAGGTTGGATTCACTACCCAAGGGAGTCTCAGAGCGGCTTACAAACTTCTTTCCCTTCCCCTCCCCACAACAAACACCCTTGTGAGGTAGGTGGGGCTGAGAGAGCTCTGACAGAAACTGCTCTTTTTCAAGGACAGCTCTTATCAGAACTACGGCTTGCCCAAGGTCATCCAGTCAGGTGCAAGTGGAGGAGTGGGGAATCAAACCCAGTTCTCCCAGATTAGAGTCCGCGCACTTAACCACTACACCAAAAGACATAGGCATCCTACACACATTACTCAGAAGCCACTTTCACCCACACCACGGGGACTTACTTCCAAGTAAATGTGCATGCAAACTGCGAGCCACACTCAAAAGACCCATCAACTTTTAAATCCCCATTTCTTCAAGCCAGAGCGTCACACAAACATGACTTGACTTCACTCCCATCCCAGCAGCCAGTCGTCTCAGCCACAGAACAACACACAGCCTTCACAATCGCGCTCTGCTGCTCTCCGGCTGACTAGGCACAGCACTTACCAGATTTTCCATATCCGTTCGAGCCAACATGTATGTTCGGACATTGGTGTTCTGATGCAGCAGAGTGTATAAGAGGAGGGTGGCTTGATCCAGGTTCTGCTGTTCACACAAGGTGGTGTACAAGCTGTTGAAATTAATCTGGAAGGCGTGAGGATTTGGTGACGGAAGAGCTGTGCTATCTGGAGGAGGAAAAATAAAAAACCCCAAGCACAGGGCTTTATCAGTTTCGTCTAACCGAATCCATGCTTTCCTTCCCATTAGTCCCAATGAAGTTTATTTTCACGGTTCAGATCAGAGATTATTTAAATGGCTCGTTCTCCCAGATTAGAGTCCGCGCTCCTAACCGCTACACCAAACTGGCTCTCAGCTGACTTACAGAGAACCCTCTGGGGTTTTCAAGGCAAGAGATGTTCAGAGGTGGCTTGCCATTGCTGGCCTCTGCATCGCAACCTGGGTTTCCTTGGGGGTCTCCCATACAAACACTAACCAGGGCCAACCCTGCATAGCTTCTGACGAAATCAGGCTCTCCTGGGCTACCCAGTTCCCATTGCTGGCCTCTGCAGCGCAAACCTGGGTTTCCTTGGGGGTCTCCCATACAAACACTAACCAGGGCCAACCCTGCATAGCTTCTGACGAGATGCGGCTCTCCTGGGCTACCCAGTTCAGGGCATTTTCAGATGGGAAGCTGAGAATGGGAAAGCTCAACTTGCCGATGCCTGTCCAACACAACAAGCCCACAGCCCAGCCAGAATTTGAACACAGAGATCTGACAGGCAGTCCTAAGTGACATATGCCTTTATCTACTTCAACTCTATCTATAGGGCATTTTCAGATGGGAAGCTGAGAATGAGAAAGCTCAACTTGTCGATGCCTGTCCAACACAAGCCCACAGCCCAGCCAGAATCTGAACACAGACATATGCCTTTATCTACTTCAGCTCACGCCAGGAGGATGGCTTTTTTTAAAAAAAGGTACATACCTTGTGTGTTCTTAAAGGACATAATAGCTTGTCTGTAAGGGTTTGGTGCGTCAGGAGCATCAGTTAGATTTGCTAATATGAGCAGCAGTAGAAGGCTCTGGTTGGCTAGAGGAGAAGACTCTTCCTGTTGAGGAGTCCGCTTGCTTCCCGCTCCTCCTAGCGTGAACACCGTCCACAGGCCAGCTAGATGGCAGGAAAAGAATAGTCCGCTTCAGGTTGCTTTCACAGTCAAGTCAATCTTTATTACAGCCCACAAGCCACACAGAAACAGAGCAAACACTGTGAATTAATTAAATTGTGTCTCTACCTATATTGTTTATCCTAGTAAGAACATAAGAGAACATAAGAGAAGCCAGTGTTGGATCAGGCCAATGGCCCATCCAGTCCAACACTCTGTCACACGGTGGCCAAAAATACCAGGTGCCATCAGGAGGTCCACCAGTGGGGTCAGGACACTAGAAGCCCTCCCACTGTTGCCCCCCAAGCACCAAGAATACAGAGCATCACTTGCCACAGACAGAGAGTTCCTAGCTATACCTTGTGGCTAATAGCCACTGATGGATCTCTGCTCCATATGTTTATCTAATTCCCTCTTGAAGCCGCCCATGTTTGTAGCCACCGCCACCTCCTGTGGCAGTGAATTCAGAAAATGAAAACAGAAGTTATCAAAGAAAATTATGTACAAGACATTATCTCAGCCCGTACTTTCATAACAGAGGACAGAAACTTGGCTACTTGTACAGGAGGTGAGGATTCATTTCTATTCATGGCAAGAGCCAGCACATTAAAATAAATAAAACAAATAAAATCACTAGTACAGTGATTCTTTGGTCAAACCCATCTGATCAAATTTCAGGCTTCAGTTTCCTGAGTAGTCTTCAGTGGTCCTTGGTCTGATCCAGCAAGGCAGCAGTTACAGGCAGGGGTCATTTCATAGAAAAAGAGCTAGGGGGACTCATTAGCATAACTCATTAGCATATGCTACACCCCCTGACATCAGGGGCCTGGCAGTGGACCTGCAAGGCCAGCGGGAGTGCGAGGAAGCCCCAGGCAGGCAGGGGTGGGGAGAGGCGGGGAGGAAGCAACTTACCCTCCCTCTTCTCCTGCCACCTCCTGGCTGAATGAGGGCTGGAAGCGGGGCGGCCAGAAGCAGGGGGCGGGGCTTCATCATGTGCCCTGCCCCCCGCACCTCACCCGGGGGAACTGCGATCCCCCGCGTTCCCCCCCAAAATTACCTCTGGTTACAGGCAAGCAAACTGTACCAATTCTAACAATTGGTAAAAACATAACCTTGCTGGATAAGACCAAGGGTCCACGTAGTCCTGTATCGTGCTTCCAACACCGCAAAACACCTTAGGAAGCAGGGTAGGAAGATGATGGCAACCCCCTCCATTTGGGTCAGACCGAATTTGCACACGTATGTCGTCCCAAGGCACAGAATCTCCATTCTATCACAGCTTACAGTCATTGATCGACCAGCATGTCTAATGATTTTTAAAGCCATTTGAGGCCTTTTTTCACATGAGCAGCTAATAGTTTTTCTACCTGGCACAACTTCATGCTTGTGGCGATGCATGAGCAAGTCACATCATCACTAGGGTGGGACAGCCTGCCTGCGTCTTTCCTACCAGACTGACAACCTCCCTCCCATCGCCAACAGCCATGCAACTGATGCAGTTGGTGTAAACAACATGAACAACATGCGCACTCCTGCACCATGGGTTGCACTATGCAGAAGCAGCTGCTTGATCTCCATGGGAAGGGGCTACCACCGCATCTTGGAACAGGGGGAGCAACCAACTGTTGCAGCTAAGCAGCTGGGGGCCTCACACAAAACTCACCCGGTCCCACAGACCCATATAGAGCAATTCTACCCTGAGCTAAAGGGTTTGGAGACCAGGCTTGAAATCAGCCACATGTACCCAAACAGCCTAAGACAGTGCTAGAGACATATACGATACTATAGGGGACTGCAGCTCACCAAGGTGCAGTGTAGGGTCAACAGCACTCAACTCTGAACTATTCAAGAGGGCTCTTTAACGCAGGCAATAGGGTAGCACTGTACAAAAGGCACCACAAAGTTACTTGGATAAATGATCAGGGACGGTGGTCTGTGTAGAGTTTGTTGTGGGGTGGATTCAGTTGTGTAATTCTGCATAACTTAATGTGTCATGTTTAACACTCATGCTTTGCCTCAGTTCTGTTTTTTAGACCTCGGGTTGGATCTGCAACCCAAATCCTATTTCATTGTTTATTGAATGTCCCATCTGGTTGATGCAGTGACTCACTCTGCGCAATCCGCCTTGAGCAGTGTTCCCTCTAAGCTGAGTTAGTGTGAGCTAGCTCACAGTTTGTTAGCCTCCAGCTCACACATTTTTGTCTTCGCTCAGGAAGGATGGCTCCAGAGCAAACTCATTTATGCAGTAGCCCAATCGCTCGCTCGCAATTTTAAATGCCAATAGCTCACAAAGTAGAATTTTTGCTCACAAGACTCCACAGCTTAGCGGGAGTATTGGTATAGACCACAAGTAACTTTGCGAACCATTTTGTACAATGTAACCCTATTGCCTGTATAGAGAAGCCCTCCTGAATAATTCAATTTTTCATAGTTTGTGGGAAACTGTAAGAGTGGGAGTCTTCCTGACCTCCTCAGGTAGGCCGTTCCACAAGGTGGGGGCCATAACAGAGGAAGCACACGTGCGGGCAGTTGTTCACGACTTTAATGCCGGTAGTTCACAAAGTAGAATTTTTGCTCACAACACTCCACAGCTTAGAGGGAACATTGGCCTTGAGTCCCAACGAGAAAGACGGACTACAAATAATGTAAATAAATAACATAAACAAACTTCCACACCTGTGGGACACAGCGCACACACAAGAATGGAAGGATAATGGTAATAGGGAATAATGGTGGAATCGCATCAAGGTATACACCTGCAGAGACTCCACCCATCCAGCATCCAAGAACAGCAAAGACCACTGAAAAAGAGAGAAGGGCAGCTGTACGACTCTCCATTTCCAGAGTGCCACAGATATCCACGCATCAGTACCCACTGGAGCCTCAGTTCTGCAGATGTAATAGGGAGTATAAGGATAAACCATCCTGCACAGGTAAAGGGGAAGGCATCTGAATTACAGCACCAATGCCAGCCTTCCCTCCTGTGCATGCGTGCAAGGAGCAACGGAACACAGAGCCTTTCAACACACATTACAGGCATGGGGATCCAGTGGGCAAACAACAACTCTCAGGCACCGGCCCTCCCTTTTCATCTACTGATCCTCAGACAAGCTTTATTATCCACTCCTGGGCACCACAGAACAAAACTGTGAATTATATATATGAGGAAAACATATGTTAAAAATGGGCTATGAGAGCTGTCAATCCATCCAGCATTCAGTCTGAGGTAGGGAGAATTTTGTCTCCTTCACAACTATCTCTACTTTGGGAGAGGGTGGAAGAAGAAGGAGGAGGAGGAGGAGGAGGAGGAGGAGGAGATTGGATTTATACCCCGCCCTTCACTACCCAAAGGAGTCTCAGAGAGGCTTGCAAACTCCTTTTCCCCACAACAGACACCCTGTGAGGTAGGTGGGGCTGAAAGAGCTGAGAAAACTGCCTTTTCAAGGACAGCTCTGACAGAACTATGGCTTGCCCGAGGTCATCCAGCAGCGGCAAATGGAAGAGTGGGGGATCAAACCCGCTTCTCCCAGATTAGAGTCCGCACACTTAACCACTACACCAATCTGGAAAGAAAGGAATCAGGGAAACTTTTTTTTTTTTTTAAGGATCACCACCAGCCCAGTTCATTATAAGATTCAGGGAAACTCCCAAACGACGTTCTGAGCTCCAGGGAAAAAGAGAAAAACCCAAATGCAGAGCAACTAATAAATTATATTTAAAATATGTTCCATTATGCATAGGACTAACGATGTCTGCAATAGAACTCATCACACTTCACAATAATGTATAAAAAGCTAAGTTTGCTTATAAAACAAATGTAGCAAAATCTCTTAAGCAATCGTTGATGCAATAACAACGCAGCGGACTAGGTGGTCTAACAAACCTATTAAGGCATCTTTGGGATTCTATAAAGCACATCCCTTCCCTTACAATAATGTGTCCATCAAAACAAGCGCGAACAGGCATCAAGTTTTCTTTACACACATTTATACTTGTACCGATTATGGTAGGAGATTGCAAAGGAGCAAAGGAAAGGTTAGCCTAATTTTTACAAATCTTCACATCCCTCTACGCAGTGCAAACAGTGCAAAGAAGTCCAAAGAACCCAGATAAGTGGGCAGTATCACAAGCTGGAGAAGAAGCCGATGTGAGCCTCATGGTGGCTTCGCATATAGACACATCTAGCAAGAACCTTATTTTAATAATAGGATTATTATTATTATTATTATTATTATTATTATTATTATTATTATTATTATTGAAACTGATGGGCAATAGGTTCAGGATGGGGGAAAGGATATACTACTTTACACATGATTAAAATGTGGTATTCGCTGCCAGAGGGATGGCCACAGGAAGAAACAGCTTTCAAAGGGGATTAGATAGCTTCATGGAGGGCAAGTCTATCAATGGCTACTAACCATGGTGACTGAGGGGTACCTCCATATTCAGAGGCACTAGACCTCTGATTCCCAGTGCCAGGAGGCAACATCAGGGGAAGGCCTTTAACTCTATGCCCTGTTATTGACCCTCTAGAAGAACTGGCTGGCCACTCTGTGAAAGAGGATGCTGGATTAGATGTACTGCTGGTCTGATCCAGGATGCTACTGGATCCAGCAGCACTCTTATGTTCTTATGATTCTGTTAAAGTATTCAACACATTGGACAGCCTATTAATTTCATTTCTCTTCTATGCACCGTCGTACTATCACCACGATTGTCTGGATCCCACTGGGCAGCGAGGGGCCCCTGGCATGAAGTGGATGACAGATTTCAGGAAGCTACTGTTGGGTTTAAGATCTACCCATCTTTGTTTAAATTTGTATCGTAAATTTGTTATTGTATTTTACTGTTTTATACTTGTGTTTTTATTGTTATAATCTTGGCACATTGTGCCCTTGTCAGCCACCCTGAGCCTTCGGGGTAGGGCGGGATATAAATCCAAGGATAAATAAATAAATAAATAATGCAAGAAACCCTTTATGAAAGCCAACAGAGCTTTGAC